GATTCAAACAGGAATTAGTTAAATGTCCATCAATACATAAACAAATAAGTTACAGCATATCTGTGAACAGGTTACTACAGAGCTGTGGGATAAACATGCAAATAAGTACTTTAAGTGAGAAAATCAAAACTTCATGTACACATTAGTTCTGCTTGGAGAGAAGAATATACACGTATATGTATATACACACACTTTCATTAAAAATGGAAACACCAATAAGGCATTGTTAACAGTGGATGACACTAGGCAGCATTGCTGGCTATAGGGAGACAGGAGGGAAAGTCTTTTATAATTAGCTTTATAACCTTCAGTAATTATTGAAATATATTACCATATGCATGCAAATTTTACCTTTTTAATGGTCTTAAAGAGGTCTTTATGAACTTCATAGTCCTTTCAGAAACTTTTCTGAAGATTTTAACAAGAAAGATTGAATAAATCATAGCTTATAATAGCTTTCACATGCCTCCTCGGACACAAGGATCAGCACAGCAAAAAAGGGAAGAGAGGAGTACCCTAGACAGTCTCTGGGGCCAGGGAGGGACATCAAGTCCTTCTGGGATCCATGTCTCCTATATCATTTCCTCCTATGTAGCCTCAGTGATTGTGCCTTCTCCCTGAGTCAGCTCGAATTATTTCCTCTGCCTTGTGACATTGTCCTCAATCTGTTGCATTTAGTCACTCCTGCTTCCCTTGTGCCCCTTCTGGTTCTGATGAATCCCTCTGTATTGATTAAAATGATCCATCCAGTCTATACAGAAAGCAGGCCCTGTGGCTTGGTGTGGGACAGTGGGGGTGCCAGGATTAACCTCACTAAACAACACCATAGAGACATTGAGATGCCTTCCTTGCAGATACTCCATTTCTGTGTCTATGTCTGTATGTGTGTATAATGGCCAGTGGAGGGCATCGGGTGTCTGGCTATATCACTCTAGTTTTGTTCCCTTGAGAGAGGATCTCCCACTGAGACTGAAGCAATGCATTTCAGGCTAGGCTGGTTTGCCAGTGAGCCACCGCAACCCACCAGAGATCTGGTGATCTTTGTCCCTCGTTACTGGGGTTACAGGCACAAGCAGCCATTCCCAACTTCAACATGGGTACTGGGAATTCAAACGGAGGTCCTTGCGCTTGTGCAGCAAGAGGTCTCAACTACTAAACCATCTCTGTAGGCCCCAATTTTGTTGTTTTTACACCTGCATTCTGGGTCTGCAGAACTTATATCCTAGTATTTACAGGGCAAGCACTTTACCAACCGAATGATCTCCTCAGCACCCAGATTTTTCTACAAGAAATGTTAAGTTCAGAGTGGCTAGAGCCCACTGCCTCAGAGGAGATATATGGCCTCTTATCAGTATTCCCTATTGAGAAAATAATGGCATTGACTAATGACAGCTAAAGGTCATTGGGCTGGCAGTTGGAGGAAGGGGAGACAGTATTTGAAGAGCAAGCAAGATTTATTGAAACAGAGGAATAGCTTCCTGAAGTAGGAAGAAGAGTGGAAAGGAAAATGCCAACTCTGAACTGAATTTTGTTTATTGACCAGTTTGCTTTACTTATTTTTGTTTATTCATTTTGAGATTTTTGCAGGAGGAGAACATAAAATTTCTAGAGAAATGCTTAGTTTTAGCTGAAAAGTCTTTGCAGAAGTCTGAGCAGGTGAGTGGAGTCAGCATGAGGATAGTTCAGGCTCTATGTCCTTCAGAGATACCATATGAAGTTTACAGGGCTAAACGAGTCCTGGCCCACAGTACTTGAGAGTCTAATTGACGGTATGAAGATCAAAGTCAGGTAATATGATGGCTTGGTTTCTGGCCCCCACCCACCTAGGCCATAGCAAGAGGAGCCAGTGGCCTCCCAGGCCCTTTTCATCTCCAATTAGATGAGAAGACATCAAATTCAACAGCTTGGATGGGCCCAGTATAAACTTCCAGTAATTAGCTGTGGCCTGGGAGATGGGGGGAAGATGAGGACGGGAAGAAAGAACCCTGTTCCTTGTGGTGTTTCATCTGCACTCTGCATACACCTGTGTTAGTTTCTCCCATAGGTCCACAGAGAGCTCACTAGTTCATGTAAGAATCAAAACTTGGATACCCAAAAGCAAGTGTGACCAGCAGACATGTTCTGATATTCTGTCCAGTGTATTGTCTTAAAATTCATTGACAATATTTTTAAAAAAGATTTCACCTTTTTTAAAAAAATCATTATTTATAGTTCCTTTTGAAAAACTAGCCTTGGTAATTTTAAGGAGCTGTACTAAGATGCTTTGTAGGATGAGACTGAATTTGAACTTGTCTGCCATTTTCTTATATACTTATTCTCTTACAATTTTATCTATAACTATGTCTCTCCTGACCTCCATTATCTCGTATCCCTTTCTCCTCCTACCAAATCCCTTCTTCCCAAACCTTCCTCCTATTTTGATGTTCTTTCTAATTTTATGTGTATGTGTGACCCATTGCATTTAATTAGGGTAGCCTGCAGGAGCCTGGTTAGGAGTCATTTGCTTGAGTAGGGACAATGTAACCAATGTGCAATTTTCCTATAAGTAGACTGAGCCTTCTAGAGTTGGGAAGTGTACTGAAGAGGCCACACAACCTACTACTAAATTGTGTGAAAGCAACAATTTGCTACTTTGATGCGACCCTTACTCATTGAATAAAATGTTCCTTGTTTCTGCTCTGGGAAGTTATTTTCCCCTCAGCCATTACATGTCCCCAGACTCAATAAGAACCCATTCTAAAGCTATTGGAGGAGTCAGCTTAGAGACATGTTCATGGGGCTAAGTTGCTACTCTTTCTCCAAGTTTCATTTGCTCATTTTGTCTTTTATCAAGCTCAGTGTGCTTCATATGGACTGCTCTCCTGGTTTTCTATTCCTCTTTTCTTCTACACTTATTCACTAGGAATCTCTTTTTCTTTCATTTACTTATGATCATGTATATCTATTTGGAGTGTAACATTGTTTTGTTGCTCAAATTCCTCTAATTTTGGCTATTGACACAATCTCTTCTTGTCTTTTCAAAGTTCCCCCAAAACAGTTTTTTTAAAGCTACCCATGTTTTGGGCACAACAAAATGTTTAGTACAAAGGGTCTTAAAATCTGAAGTATATCCACAATTGATTTATAGATGTTGGGGTCTGCTGTGGGATGTTCTGTATGGCAAATGTGTTGTTCTGATTGGTCAATAAATAAATCACTGATTGGCCAGTGGTTAGGCAGGAAGTATAGGCGGGACAAGGAGGAGAATAAAGCTGGGAAGTGGAAGGCTGAGTCAGAGAGACACTGCCAGCCACCACGATGACAAACAGCATGTGAAGATGTCGGTAAGCCACGAGCCATGTGGCAAGGTATAGATTAATGGAAATGGATTAATTTAAACTGTAAGAACAGTTAGCAAGAAGCCTGCCACGGCCATACAGTTTATAACCAATATAAGTCTCTGTGTTTACTTGGTTGAGTCTGAGCAGCTGTGGGACTGGCAGCTGAGAGAGATTTGTCCTGATTGTGAGCCAGGCAGGAAAACTCTAGCTACAAATGGCGTCCAACGTGATGGCAAGAGTTTCCACCTAAAAACTGAGAAAAAAGATTCTAAAACGGAGCTAAAAACAGCTTCCTAATTGTCTCTCTCAAATGAGCAGCAGCTGCCGGTTTGAGCTACTGGTGGGTTCCTAGCGTATGCCCTATGGCGGGAATGAGACCTCTGCAAGTGGCACATTAAGCTGCATGGTGGATATAGACTTTGCTAGTACAAAACAAAAAAAAGAGGTTTCTGGGCTACATGCTGCTTGGATAAAAGCATAGACCCACGATAGCTCCCAGAGCTGGCAGTAAACCACCATTATGTTGGGAAGCTGAGGTGGGCGGAGCCAGCAGCCACAGCTGCTGCAGCTTAAAGCAATACATTCACAATAAGACAGACTCAGATGTAATAGTTTACAATGTGTGTAAAATATACGTAGGCTTGAAAGAGACAAAAAAGGTGATATATACAGTTATATAAACAAATACATAGTTTTAAAAAATAAAGTCTTTAAAGAGACAGTAAAGTTAATATAAAAATAAGCCACGTGAAGATGAATATTACACAGAGAATCTGGATTGTGTTGTCTTTGGGATTTTTAACTGCAGAAAAACATTTGATTGTAAAAGCTGTTGAGTTATGCCAAAATGTATATTTTAAGGGTACCTTGACTTCAAAATTTGAATATAAGGATATGTTGCTTTGGAAAGGAGACTCTGCTTTTGTTCCCACAGAAAGCCAGAGGCTATGGATTTGTTCCAGATTAAGATACATCAGGTTTGACCAGCCAAGACCCCCTGAAAGGTCTCCAATGACACCATGGCCCAGATGATCCAACATCCAGAATGGTTTGAAGGCAACTGGCTCAGACAATACAGCCTCATGGACTATTCCATAATCCTAAAATTTTCTTTGTGTCCCCATAAGATACAGCGCCCCCCTCCAGCAGGAAGTAGTAAGAGAAGCTACACCCAAATTCCCAAATTATATGTAATTTTACTTTGTTAAGGTTAAAACCTTCCTTTTTGGAAAAAAAAAGGGGGGGGAAGTGCTGTGGGATGTTCTGTATGGCAAATGTGTTGCTCTGATTGGCCAATAAATAAATCACTGATTGGCCATTGGCTAGACAGGAAGTATAGGCGGGACAAGGAGGAGAATAAAGCTGGGAAGTGGAAGGCTGAGTCAGAGAGACACTGCCAGCCACCACGATGACAAACAGCATGTGAAGATGCCGGCAAGCCACAAGCCATGTGGCAAGGTATAGATTAATGGAAATGGATTAATTTAAGCTGTAAGAACAGTTAGCAAGAAGCCTGCCACGGCCATACAGTTTATAACCAATATAAGTCTCTGTGTTTACTTGGTTGAGTCTGAGCAGCTGTGGGACTTGCAGGTGACAGAGATTTGTCCTGACTGTGGGCCAGGCAGGAAAACTCTAGCTACAGGGGTCTACATAAGAGGCTGGGGGGGGGGGGGGGGGCGCTAAATGGGAAAGAAAATGGAAAATGTTTTCTTCTCTTTTAAGGATATGAAAGTAAGGTTTTTATTATTTTTTATAAACTGTGTGTGTGTGTGTGCTTGCATGCATGCATGCACATACACATGCTCCATAGCATGTGTGTGGAAGTCAGAAGAAAACTTATGAGAGTCGGTTCTTTCCTTCCACCTGTGGGTCCTAGAGATTGAACTCTGTTTACCAGGCTTAGTGGCAGGTACCTTTACCAGGGAAGTCGTCTAGAAGGCCCTGAAAGAAACATTTCTTTAAAATTTCATATGCAACTGATCTCAAGATTACAAAAAGTTACAAGGGTAAATCAGGTCTACAGATACCAGTAAGCAGTAGAGAGCTTCAGTAGCATGCATGAGGCTATGGGTTTGATTCCCAGCATTGAAGAAAAAGGGAAAGAAAAAAAAGAATTCAAAGAACTCCATGACCACAGACCCAGATACATCAGTCATTGCTTGTCTGTCTTATTTTACACTTTATCTCCTTATATATTTTTCTGACCCATTTGAGAATAAGGTGATACATTATAACCTTTTACTCCTACACACTTCAATGTATCCTTTCTAAGAACATGGCCATTCTTTATTCACAGCTCAGTTGTTAATTGGAGAAATTTAACACTGAGGCAATCCTGGAAGTTAAGGCAGGGGTCTCTCTCATGTAGTCCAGGCTAGCCTCACTCTTCTTGCCTCCACCTCCCAAATACTCTGATTACATGCCTGCCTAACCTACTGTCATATTTAAAAAGAGAAATTTGTTCTGTATAACCATGATTTTATTTTTTTAATGAGGAAACAAAAAATTTAAACATACTGAGCCTGATAGAATTTAAGTGAGCATGAGAATCATATACAAAAAAATACCCAGAACAGGGTCAGCAAGATGGCTCAGCAGATAAAAGTATTAATTCCTGGAGCCCACCAAAACGTAAAAGGAGAAAACCAATTCCACAAAGTTGTCCTCTGACCTCCACTGTGGTGTACACTGTGATGCACGTGCCCTGCCCATTCACACACAATAATAATAATGCTTTTTAAAACTAGAATGAATGCATGTGACCTTCCAGCCTCTAGACTTATTTAAATTTGCTGCTCTTGATTTTAAGCTGTTAGGGTGAAAAACAGAACAGTTAAGCTGAGTGTCAAGACAAAGAAGTTGTCCTCTATTCTTAAAGAAACTAAGGACTGGAGGAAGCCAAAGAGATGTGAAAGGCACCCACAGGCTTCCCTAAGAGGCCACTCCCTTCCAACTGCACACACCAGGGGATGAAATCAACAAGCTGAAACTTGCAGGTGGGAGGTCAAAGACCTGAAGTTGAATTTTTTAAGCCATTTTTGTGAGAGGAAAGTGGAGACACCTAAGTTGAAAATTCCTCTTATAAAACATCAGAGCTTAATCTTAGTTCAGTAGCACAGGATAAACAGCCTTCAATGGTTCGCACATCTACATGTGACTTCGTGTTTCTTATTTCTGAGCTATTGAAGCACTGCTGATCCATGCCACTGAAATCCCAGGAGCTTTCCCATCTTCCCAACCCCCAGATAAAGCAGGTGGATCAAGTCATGCCTTTTTCACTGTCACATGAGTGCAGATGAGGTATACAGTTGGTGATTTTCACTGCCTGTACCAGGGTGGATCCAGAGACAGCAAGTCACACCTGACAGTGCTCATCAGTTTCCTAGGGAAAATGAAATGGACATGTTTGAGACATGTTTCCTGCCTTAGATTTATGTTTTCCTGAAATTGCTATCAATTCTTTTTCTTTTTCTTTTTTGATACAAGATCTCAAGTATCCCATGCTGGCTTCAGACATGCTCTGTAGTAAAGGATGACCTTAAGCTTCTGATCCCCAGCCTCTCCTTCACTCATGACATAATTCCAGGTGGTTCATTTGGTACTGGGGATTGAACATGGGGATTCATGTAAACTAGGCAAGTACTCTACCAATGAAGCTACATTCCCAGTCCACAATCTATGTCTTGTGGATCCAAGCTGTCAGTGCCAGCCACTATTGTGCTGCTCACAATCAGCACAGCAAATGGAAACAATAAGTATAAAGCAGATTTTAAAAAGAGAGAAACTAGAGAGAGGATCTGCTCTAAATCAAAGCACACTTTATGGTATAGAAGTTGTCATAATGCTAAAAGCTGAGCTTCAATCTTCCAGCAAAACAAGCAGCTGTGAAACCTGTAAGGAATGAGCAGTTGTGAGTGATGACAGCAATCGTTTTTAGTAGACTAGTCACTTCTTCAGCATGCTCGGCATCATGCAATGAATGTGATTATTCTGCTTCATCACAGAGAGGGCACTAATGTAACATCCTAAGTGGCACCAGAAGCTTTGCTAAAGGCGTCTGTCCAGGCTCTAACACTGGGCCGTGGACAAAGGGGAAACCTCTTATCCCTGTCATCTCAGGTTTTCTAATCCTAATAGCCCAGCAACAGAAATAAATAAACCTTAAGTATGAGCTAAGTCAGTATGAAGAGAAGCATTTGATATCATGTATAAACCAAATGAAAGTGTATGTATAGGATGGTTCAAAGTGGTTAACATTTTTTATGCTTGTCATGGGTAGACAATAGCCTGTGAGTATCCTGCAAACATGCATATCATGTTTGAAGAATGAAATCGCAATCCATGTATGAAGTACCATGAGCTGGGTCACAATAATTAGTCTCTGTCTCATGAGTAATGAATCTAGGACTCTGAGCACAAAAAGCTCATGACAGTGACCAGCCTAATGCCCTCATTCTTGGCTCCCTCACATATCTGACTGACAGGACACAATCTGCAGGGTTGGTTAGTGAGTCAGGGGATGGAGTTGTAAGGAGAATCATGACCACAGGTCTCCTTATGGATTAAATGAGACATGGTGAAGACCTCCATTCCCAGCTACTGCTGAAATGATAAGCAATGGAATCTGTTTGGTCAATTCAGATAGCATTTGCATGTTCAAGTGTGGTATAAGAAAGAGAGCTCTGCAGGACTCCATAGAAAAGTAGGAGGCAAAAAAAAAAAGGGTTGGAGGGCAAGCTATGAATATTTGCTACTTTTCTTTCAATATGACCAAGTAAGTATCTGACAAGATGCAACTTAAAGAATGAAGAGCTTATTCAGGTTTAGAGTTCAAGGGGTTTCAAGCCATGGTGTCGAGAAGGCATGGTAGCAGGAGTGTTGGGCATTTGACCACATCACATCTGTAAGCAGGAAACATATAGCAGACAGGAAGTGGTTCAGGCTTTGGGGTCCCAAGGCCCACAGTTCCCAGTAACCCATTTTTCTCCAGCAATGTTCTACCTCCTAAAGATTCCACAGCCTATCAAAACAGCACCAACCACTGAGGATAACGTGTTCAAACACAATCAAACCACAGCACTAAAGGAGAAAGTTCAAGGTTAACACTATGGATAGAGAATGCACCCCTAGGCCAACTCCTCCACGGAAACAGAACCCCTAAGTTCTTTCTGACCAGAACAGGCCATCATATTCAGATCCCTAATAGTCTCTTATCCAATTTGCCTTGGACAGGCTCAGCCTCAGTTTACCCCTTGGGTGTGTGGACATCTCTGCTTTTAACTGATTAGATTTCCCCAGTTCCTGGATTTACAAATGCCTTGCTGCTAGACTAGATGTCCTCCAGAGCCAACACACCTTCCAGTCAAACAGAAAAAAGTCAGACTTCATGAGGTGACAAGCTGGCTGCCTGCTGGGCTCTCCTCTCTTCTCCATGATACTCTTTAGCTTAAAATGTTAATTCTGAATTTTAATGAAAGAAAAACATTTCTATGAGTATGTATTTGGCCAAACTATCCTTTCTATGAGTACCAAATACGTAATTTGAATTTGAAAGTTTTAGAAGAAGGGTTTGGAACACAGTTAGTGGAATGCTTGCCTAACATGTGTGAACCCCTGGGTTCCAACCCCAGCATTGCATAAATCCAGTATGCTGTACAGACCTATAATCCTTGGGAGGTCAAACAAGAGGATAAGCATAACATAGCAAAGGCCAGACTGAGATACAAGAGACTCTGTCTCAAAAAAAAAAAGTGAGGGGTTCTTACTTTGCACCCATATGCTGTGGGATGGTCTGTATGTCAAATGTGTTGCTGATTGGTCAATAAATAAATCACTGATTGGCCCGTGGCCAGGCAGGAAGTATAGGCAGGACAAGGAGGAGAACAGAGCTGGGAAGTGGAAGGCTGAGTCAGAGAGACACTGCCAGCCGCCACGATGAGAAACAGCATGTAAAGATGCAGGTAAGCCATGAGCCATGTGGCAAGGTATAGATGAATGGAAATGGATTAATTTAAGCTGTAAGAACAGTTAGCAAGAAGCCTGCCACGGCCATACAGTTTGTAACCAATATAAGTCTCTGTGTTTACTTGGTCGGGTCTGAGTGGCTGTGGGACTGGCGGGTGACAGAGATTTGTCCTGACTGTGGGCCAGTCAGGAAAACTCAAGCTACAAATGGCGTCCAACGTGATGGCAAGAGTTTCCACCTAAAAACTGAGAAAAAAGATTCTAAAACGGAGCTAAAAACAGCTTCCTAATTGTCTCTCTCAAATGAGCGGCAGCTGCCGGTTTGAGCTACTGGCGGGTTCCTAGCGTGCGTGCATGCTCGACCTGCAGTATGGTGGGAATGAGGCCTCTGCAAGTGGCACATTAAGCTGTGTGGTGGATTTAGCCTTTGCTAGTACAAAAAAAAAAAAGTTTTCTGGGCTACACGCTGCTTTGATAGAAGCATAGACCCACTATTTCTGAGAGTTGATGGCTCCCAGAGATGGCGGAAAACGTATCACCGCCATGTTGGGAAGCTGAAGTGGGTGGAGCCAGCAGCGCCAGCGCCCTTTCAGGCTTAGAATGCTGCAGTTTAAAGCAATAGGCTCAAGCTAATATAAAAAAATAAGCCACGTAAAGATGGCTACCACACAGAGAATCTGGATTATGTTCTCTTTGATATTCGTAACTGAAGAAAAACATTTGATTACAAAAGCTGTTGAGTTATGCCAAAATGTATATTTTAAAGGTACCTTGACTTCAAAATTTGGATGTAAGGATATGTTGCTTTGGAAAGGAGGCTCTGCTTTTGTTTCCACAGAAAGCCAGAGGCTATGGATTTGTTCCAGATTAAGATACATCAGGTTTGACCAGCCAAGACCCCCTGAAAGGTCTCCGATGACACCATGGCCCAGATGATCCAACATCCAGAACCGTTTCAAGGCAACTGGCTCAGACGATACACCCTCACAGACTACTCCATAATCCTAAAATATTCTTTGTGTCCCCATAAGATACAGCGCCCCCCTCCAGCAGGAAGTAGTAAGAGAAGCTATGCCCAAATTCCCAAATATACCAAGCTGACTTTAGAGATGTGTAAAGGTTAAAACCTTCCTTTTTAAGAAAAGAAAAGGGGAAGTGCTGTGGGATGGTCTGTATGTCAAATGTGTTGCTGATTGGTCAATAAATAAATCACTGATTGGCCCATGGCCAGGCAGGAAGTATAGGCGGGACAAGGAGGAGAATAGAGCTGGGAAGTGGAAGGCTGAGTCAGAGAGACACTGCCAGCCGCCACGATGAGAAACAGCATGTAAAGATGCCGGTAAGCCATGAGCCATGTGGCAAGGTATAGATGAATGGAAATGGATTAATTTAAGCTGTAAGAACAGTTAGCAAGAAGCCTGCCACGGCCATACAGTTTGTAACCAATATAAGTCTCTGTGTTTACTTGGTTGGGTCTGAGCGGCTGTGGGACTGGCGGGTGACAGAGATTTGCCCTGACTGTGGGCCAGTCAGGAAAACTCAAGCTACACCCATATAAACTGCAAGTTGTGAGTTCCTCCCAGCTCAGCATAAGCAGTATTTTGTTTGTCTGTTTACTTGTTGTGTTTGTGGACACACATTTAAGTATGCATATGGTGAGATTTTATTTGTACTGAAATGTGATTTTTTTTTTTTTTTTGGTTTTTCGAGACAGGGTTTCTCTGTGTAGCTTTGCGCCTTTCCTGGAACTCACTTGGTAGTCCAGGCTGGCCTCGAACTCACAGAGATCCGCCTGGCTCTGCCTCCCGAGTGCTGGGATTAAAGGCGTGCGCCACCACCGCCCGGCTTCTGAAATGTGATTTTATTTGTATGTTAATAAATAAAGTTACCTGGGGGTCAGAGCTAATAGCAAGCCATCGCAGAGCTGTAACAAGTGAGGAGGGCTCTCATTTAATCCCCACGCCCCCCCCAAAAAAAACACTAGGTTGTTTATTTGGTTGGGTCTGAGTGGCTGTGGGACTGGCAGGTGATAGAGATTTGTCCTGACTGTGGGCCAGGCAGGAAAACTCTAGCTACAAATGCATGTGGAAATCAAAGGACAACTTTTAAGGATCAGTTCACTCCTATCTTGTTGAGGCAAGATGTCTCTCGTTACTTCTGCTGCACTGCAGCTATGTGGCTCCACAGGCTTACTGGTGGTTCTTTCTCCACGTCCCTTCCTGCCTTAGGAGTGCTGGGACCACAGATGTGAGCCACAGCATCTGGCTTTTTACATGGGTCCCAGGGATCAAACTTGGGTCATCAGGCTTATGCAGCTAACATCTAGCTCTTGTACTCACTGATCCATCTCTTCAGTTCAGGCAGTATTTATCTCACATGTGTATCCCAGGAAAGTGAAACACCTTAGAGTCTCTGTAGGCACAACTAAACCCGCAGGAAATTCAAGTGCGTGGAGGGGCAAACATTCCATCTCCTAGTCTTGTGAATAAAAATGTAAAATCTAATCTATTTTTGTTAATAGTTTCTCTTCCAATATCTAATGACTAGAAATTCATTAAAATTCTTCACACTGAATCCATTGTCCTGGAAACAAGAGTGAGTGGGAGAGATTATGCCCTTGGAGACAGGCGACTGTGCTGTGGTCAGGCTGCAAGTGAGCCCAGGGTTCACAGACACTCCGAGCACTGTCACCGCTCTGAGTCACCAGAATTGAACAATTCTCTTACCCGGAAAGGATAAAAGTGGTCCCCTCTCTGACCTTTGCTCATTGTCTAGGTCCTAGGATATCTTAAGGGACAATTTTCATTTCTCAGAAAGTTCTTTTTATAAAAACAGTCATTTTAAAAAAAAAAAAGTCATTAAATTAATTTAAGAACTACTGAATACCTATTAAATGCCTCAAGTCACCAATAATAACAAGACAAAAGTTCTTCTCTTAAGGAAACTAGGTCCCACCAAGTCACAAACATCCAAACATTGAGGTACCTGTCAGTCATGGGAGAGCTCTGAGATTCACGACAGGGAGAGAATGCAAAGTCACTTTGCCTTTTTCAAAGGACAGGAGTAAGGAAGGAACTCTGAAGCTGTATGGTTTCAACAAAACCAACTAATGCCTCTGAGCATTAGCTTCCTCATGTGCAAAATTGAAAATTAATAAGCTCAAGTTAGCCATCCATAATGTACAAAGAGTCCTCTATGAAGGTGAGCAGACCTAAGTTTAAACTCAGCTCTGTTTTAGTCACTAGGAAGGCTAATACTGTTGCTCAGCCTCCTCATCTGAGTGAGGAGTGTAGAACCACCCATCTCACAGAGCAGCACTGAAGGACAACAGTACTCAGAGAAGAGCAGAGGTCATTGTCACTCTGTGAGGAGGGACAGGGAAGTATGACATTTGCTAAGAACCATTGGCTCTGCACTAGATTCAGAGGTTTTGTTTGTCTACTCATTTTATACCTATACATACAAACTAAAAAAAAAAGTTAGAGGGTTTTAGTAAAATTAAAATGATTTTCAAACAGATATAAAATCAAAATGTGGCAAAGAATTTATTTTACATATAATGGGAAAACATATAACTAGAAAGAGACTTCAAGTGAGGAGCTGGGAAGAAATTCATCAGGCAACATGCTTGTTGTGCAAGCATGATAAGCTGAACATGAATCACCAACACCCATGTAAAAGCCAGGTTAGCTGTGTCCGCACACTGGGAAGATGCGAGACAGACAGATTCCAGGAACGTATTGGCCAGCCAGTCCAGTCAAATCAATGAGCTCCCAGTTCAATGAAAGCCTCTGTCTCAAGTGTTGATTTCTGGCCTCCACATGAGCACACATAGACAAGTATACCCACATACACACATGCATACCACAACACAATTACAACTGATTCAAAGAAATTATTTTTAAAAATCAACAAATTTATAATAGATGAAAAACTGATTGACATCCACAGGTATATCATTTGGACAAAATATATTTTAATTTCTGTGTTTTAGAATCATTTACATTACTATAATTTTTATATAATTTACAGTGTAGCAAAATGGCTAAAAGACAACAAAAGAGTCAACTGCTTCAGAATCAGATTACCTTCAAGGGCTACAGATTTTTCTTTGTTCAACTGTTTTCAGAATACTTTTTACATCATTATGATTATCTTCATCTGCAGTGGAAAAAATGGAGTCATTCCATGAGTGTGTGATGACAGAAAAAGTATCAATTCAAACTCACCTGTATCCAAGCACATTCCCAAGTGGGTGCCACCACTTGCAGTGCTGGGCTATGCTTTGTCTTTCGCATTGCAGGGATGAACAGCCAGTACATGCGCAGGGAAGTCTTCTGCTGTGAGACCTGTGATGAGCTCAAAAGCTTCTGGGAAAAGGAAATTAGCAAACAGACTTGTTACCGAGAACTTGAAGAAGATCGCCAGGAGAAAAGCGCTCTGAGAAAGTATGTGGATTGCTTTTCTGTCCTAAATTTCCTTGGGAATATATGAGATGTGGAGAGGGGCCCAAATCTTTTTCATCACTCACTGTTATAAGGTGGGTGATGGATTCTGTACTACAGAGGGAGGAAACAAGAACAAGATATGGAGAGAAAGAAGTGTACTAAATTCACAAGTCCCAAAGAGGTATCTCCACACATTGCTCAGCACATCAAAGTTTTAATCAGAACCTAGGAGCCAGGAAGAAAGAGTAAGCCATATCCTTTGGGGGATTTCCATGGCAAGGCAGGAAAGAGAGGATAGTTCAAGGTAGGCTGGTTTGAATAATCCCAGTGGGCTTCTGGCTGGCTAGTCCCCAGTACTGGCTCTAGGTTGCTTTCCAAAGGGGAGCATAGTGGCAGGTATGGAAGTTGAATATGGAAAAAAATGAAGCTACAGAATTGGGTATAGATGGTTTGGAGATTGGCTGAGCCTTTTGCTAGGACAAGAATGTAACTCGGCTGTTAGAGGGCCTATCTAGAATGTACAAAGCCCTGGGTCAGATCCCAACACCAAAGAAGGTGTGAGGCAAACTCCTGTAATCCCAGCACTGGACAGGTAGAAGCAGAAGGTTCAGAAGTTCAAAGTCATCCACCTAGGCTACATGAGACCCTATCTTATAAAAGGGGTGGGAAACTAGTCCTGGGATGGGCAGTCTCTCTCCAGCCAGGGTATTCTTAAAAGAAGTCAGAACATAAAATACAGAAGATCAGAAACCAAGGTTAATAGAACCACTCATTCAATATTGCCAGTCTTTATGGGGTTTCTTGGGTACATCTACAGCCAATTTCTCACTCAGCTGTCAGCACTGCTGATGTTTTAGAGCCAGAGAACTGCTTGCAGTGGAAGGCTTCCTTGCATTGTAACATGTTCAGTAGTATTTCTTGACTCAAAAAATTAGCTGTCAGCAGGATTCCCATTTCACATTGTGGTAAAGGTACCTGGAGGGCAAAGTGGTTCCTATTGAGAACCAATAGCTTACAGATATCAACAATACTTTCTTCAACACAGACAAAATATCAAGTTTTGGGTTGTCCAGAAAGCTCAGCAGGTAAAGGCACTTGTCACATAAGCCTGAAGACCTGTGTTTGATCCCCATAACCAACATGAAGGCTGAAGGAGGGAACTGACTCCACAAAGTTTTCCTCTGACCTCCACATACATGTCATGATATATATACCCACATATACACAACATGCATGTGCAGAGGCACACATACACAATAATAACTAATAATTTGAATTAAAAAGTTTCTGTTTCCTACAATTGTTTACTCAAGAGATGGGTGTGGTGATACAAGCCATAATCCTAGCAGTTAGGATGTGGAGGTAGAAGGATTAGAATTTCAAGATCATTCTCATCTACCTAGAGAATTAAAGGCCAGCCTGAGCTACATGGAGCCTGTGTCAAAAATAAATGAATAAAAATAAGAATAAAGAAAAATCCCTTCAGCTCTTCACAATTATAATCCCAGAATAGAAGGCCAAACTATCTTTCAGGGTTAGCTTGACAGGTCTGTCTGTATGAAAAACTAGTTCACGAAAACCTTCCACATCTGGAAAGACACATATTAAGAGTTTGAGGGGAAGGTAAAGCAGTCTCTCCTGCCTGCCTCTTCCCAAATACCTAACAGTCACTTCTTAAATAACTGATTTCCTACCTGGCTCTTATCCTGCCTTACCATAGGCCAAAACAGCTTCTTTATTAAACAATATTATCACACATTTTCACAGCGTGCAGAAAGACCATCCCACAGCACAGTCTTTTTTTTCATTAACAAATGAATTTCTTGTTTTAGTTGAGAGTCTACTGAAAAGGGATCATTTATTTACAAAGCTGAGCAGCAGGAACAGCTCAACTCCTCAGAGCCTGTCCAAGTTCTTTACCTCTAAAATAGGAACAGTCCCACTGAGACATAGGCTCACCAATGGGATGTTCACTCATGTAGTCCAGAGGGGTCTCAAACTGGCTACATATCTGAGGATGACCTTGAACTCCTGATCCTTTGGCCCTCAGCATTAGGATTACAGGTATGAGCCACCACATCCAGCTTTCAACATCACTTTCTAAAACGTTTTTAAGTCCCAAAGAAGAGCCTCCCTCCATACCTAGAGAAAAACCCTCTTCCATCCACATCCTTAACAGTGTCATTAACACACTGACCTTGCTTAGAGGAAGCAGTCCTAGAATGGTGTCTGGAAAGCAGCTGGCTTCCAACGGCCCTACTTATCCCTACCTCCTTCTTTGTGTCAAACTAGTGTGAAGTCCAAAGGCTCTCCCTGCCCAGTGCAGTCCCTTCTCCCTGCTTTCTCAGTTCCTTCCCTAAATCTGTTTTTGAGATGCATAATGCCAGGCATGTGACGGAAAAACTGCAAGCCCGATCAGATCCTCACTGCCTCCCAGTGACACACTATCCCTTGAGAATCTCACAGACACCATCACCCTGCTTTCTAGTTACACCTAGTTAATTCTACTTACAAAGGAGAATCAGAATATCTAGATATTAACTGCCACCCCTACCCCAACAAATCAAAAGAATCTAGAACAATAAATAAACATGACTTGGTCTCCATTTGAAAAGTGAAACCAGTATTTCTAGATTAAAGACAAAAACTTTAATACCAGCTATACTGCTCTTCTCATGTATTCAGATCTCATTTTTAAGATTTATTTGATTATTATTTATATATGTGTGTGTATTTGTGTGTTTATGTGTACACAAATGCAGTGCCTGTGGCAGCCAGAAGAGGGCATCCAATACCTTGAAGCTGGAGTTATAGGCAATTGTGAGTCCTCTAACTAGGTTCCTTTGCAAGATCCTTTGCAGTCCTTTGCAAGAGCAGCAAGTACTCTTAACTGCTGAGCCATCTCCCGACCTCTTTTCATCCTTTAGTTGATTAGATCACAAATCAGTTTGTCATCTTAGTTTTTTTCTGCTGATCCATTTGCCTGTCTGTCCCTTTCTTCAAGGCTGTGTTAACAATGGTGACTGTATCTTTTTTTTTTTTTTTTTTTTTAGACAGGGTTTCTCTGTGTAACCCTGGCTGTCCTGGAACTTTCTCTGTAGACCAGACTGGACTCAAACTCAGAGATGCACCTACTTCTGCCTCCCGAGTGCTGGGATTAAGGCATGTGCCACCAGTTCTTTTGGCTAACCTACTTCTTTTCTTACTTTTCCACAGAAAATTGATTGATTATTTTTTAATGATTGGTTATTTTTTTAATGAAGGCTTGCTATGTTACCCAGGCTGTTTTCAATATCTTAGACTCAAGTAATCCTCTTGCCTCAGCCTCCCAGGCAGCTGAGACCACATTCACCAGCTGTTTCACAGTCAGCTGGTTGATGACTACAGAAACATTTCCCTGGGATTTCATGGAGTCAAATATTAATTTAGGAAGGCTAAATTAAATTTGATGAAAGACTAACTGTTTGTAGTCTTCACTGTTTTTCTACTCTATTTCTGTTCTTTACTCACTTGTAAAAGTCATGGGCTTCTTTGAACAATATTTATGAGAAACAAATGAAAAACTCACCAATGGACCAGCAGATATGGAAACAAATGCACTAATCAATTGCATGTGTGGTGTCTTCTCCTCAGGCTTCGAGAAGAATGGAAGCAGAGGCTGGAGAAGAGGCTGAGAATGCTGGACAATCCTGATGATAAGGGAAAGCAAGCTACCCCTGAGAACTGAGTGCTTCTGGCAAACCATCAAGAGCATCTTCTTCTAAAGGAAAAAGACTTCCATAGAGTTATACTGACTTCCTAAGCTGAACTTCCCGATCTGTTCTTCCATTTGAGAAAGGACATACATGTAAACCCTACCCTGTGTTAATGGGAACTGTTATCCAGCTCAACCCTCTCCACACAGAGGACAGGGTGACTGCAAGGGTGGGATGCTTGGATTGCTTAATGTAAAAAGCTCTTTGAATTAGCACCCCTCCCCATGTAGTAAAGGTGGTTCTGCCTTCTATCCCCATCTTGAAATCTAAATGCTTTCCCTGAACTTGCTTGAGGCAATGACCTTGATGGAACCCAGCTTCTCCACATCTCTAGAAACTGATCACAAAATCATTGTCTCCTTTCTTCCTTTTTTGTGTATACAGAGATGCCACAGCCTGCAGAAATAAAACTAGTATGAATTTTGAAATTTTAACAATATGATTTGAAAATAAACGGAATTAGTTTTCTCTTCCTATAAATTTGGGCTTTTTGATCATGTTTTATTTAGGCACATGCAGAGGAAGTAGAATCCTGCTGAACAGTCTTGGCTGGCTCACCCTAACCCTTGCTCACCTCAGAATTGCCTGCCCTCTGTCAAGTCCTTTCACATTCCTCTTAGTCAGTTCTCCACAAGTGTCAGCTGCAGTATCCCCAGACACATTCCAGAACTTTGAGTCATCCTCACTTAGCTTCCTGTCTGGTCCAGAGCAAGTTTGCTAGACAAACGGCATTTACAGCAGCATGGATGGGGGTTCCTTTGTCTGAGATTCCTCGAGGCAGGACGGGAACAAAGGGAGATGTGCCAAGGCACATAGGTGGCCAGAGGGAATAAAAGGCTGAGTCCAAGACACTTAGACAGTCACGGGGAAGCCTGCTTCCCTCTGCTTCTTCTGGAAAACTAACAACCCTCATTATGGCCAAGAACGATGTGCATGGCAGGAAGGGCTGGAGAGGCTTCCACCATCCCCCCACAGTGAGATTCAAAAGGCAGTGCCCAGGCCTCTCCTGTGGGCTCTTATTCAATTTACATTCAACAAAAAGACTAAACTAGTTCTGGGAAAAGCTGAGCTAAGTTCAAAAGAGGATAATCATGAAAAAGAACTTTGATAAGGACAGAGAACCATGGGAATAAACATCAAGACACCTGACCACATATGTGAGTGGTCTGAAAATGTGACATCTGAAAATGTGACAGTTAAAGGGAGATCTGACCTGTAAAAATCATTTCACTTTGTATGTACACACCAACATATCAATTACAGACCCTAGGTACATACAGCGCCTGGCTATGAGCAAGGAAAACAGAACAGGGAAGGTGCAGAAGTGAGGAAAAGCAGATGGGGCCTGGGAAGCTATAGAGAAATGTGTATCTATAACAGAATGAGGAAAGGGTTCCTCTATAGAAGAGAGGAGGTGGGGACAGGAGCCCCTAGAGACAGGCTTCTTATCTACAGAGTAATAGCCATTGTAATTTATAGCTACAGGAGTGGATTGCTTGGATTTTCATTGTTGATTTTTTTTTCCAGAATGTGTGTGTGTGTGTGTGTGTGTGTGTGTGTGTGTGTGTGTGTGTGTGTGTGTGTGTGTGTGTAGGCAGGGTCTCATACAGGTCAGGCTGACCTTAAACTATATTTAGCCACTGATGAACTTGAACTTCTAACTCTGCTACCACTGTCCCCTAAGTACATGGATTAAATGTGTACACCACCACACCCAACCTAACTTTTCCAGATTCCTTGATAAATGAAAACACACACACACATATATCTATATCTATATCTATATCTATATCTATATCTATATCTATAATTTTATATGCAGATAATTATAACACATATGTTGGTTGGCTTTCCATAACTGTGGAAAAAACTCACTGTATCTGCTGGTCAAGCAATGTATATGACATTTTCTTATACTTTTCATGAGTATTTGTTCATTTGCTTGTTAGTCATTTGTTTAACTTGAGTTCTAGGGCTTAAACTCAGATCGTGTATAGAAAATGCTTACTAACTGATCTTCCCAAACTTTCGTGCATGATTTTGACTTTTGCCAATGAGTTAAAAAATATATAAAAATGGCCGGGCGGTGGTGGCGCACTCCTTTAATCCCAGCACTCGGGAGGCAGAGCCAGGCGGATCTCTGTGAGTTCGAGGCCAGCCTGGACTACCAAGTGAGTTCCAGGAAAGGCGCAAAGCTACACAGAGAAACCCTGTCTCGAAAAACCAAATATATATATATATATATATATATATATATATATATATATATATAAATGAATGACGTCTATGAATAGGTAGTCTACTCTTAAAGCAAAAAAGAAACACAAACAGGCCTAGGTCCCAATGTCCCTTTCAAGGACAAACCCTAATGACAGAACTTCCTCCCACTGGGCCCTACTTCCTAAACATTTTACTTCCTTTCAATACTTTCAGGGCTAGAGGACAGCCCATTGACACATGGGCCTTGGAGGGCACTCGTGATATAAATTGTAGCATTTTGTATGCAGATATAATTTGGGGAGTTTGTTTTTTTGTTTGTTTGTTTGAGACAGGGTCTCACTATGTATCCCTGGCTGGCCTGGACCTTGTTATGTATACAAGGTTGGCCTCCAAGTCACAGAGGTCCCCCAACCTCTGCCTCCTGAATGCTTCAACACCACGATGAGCACCTGTGTTACTGAGATTTTCTACCAACTCCTTTGTCCTTGTTTGCTTTGGCTTAGAAATCCCTTTGTTTCCCTCCTCCCTGCCGTCACTGACCTTCACACCCTAGCAATTTATATTAACAATTTCCAACAGTTTTCTGCACATTTACACAGCCATGAACACACACATCATATAAAAGACTTGTGTGAACATGTTCCTGTGAACATAATACATAATTGAATCATATTCTATTTTTCTGCATCTTGCATTCTTCAATTGTGTAAACCCTAAGACTTTGTCACTTGAACTGTAAAGCAGTGAAAACTCTTATCCATGGGTCCTTTATATTAACTTGATATTTTGTACTAGAGAACAGATTCCTTAGGATGGGAAACACAATAAATAGCATTAGAAACAGAAATTTATTAGAGTACCCTTCTCTCAGTATCCCCAGCAGTAAGTGCTGCTGTATTTAGCTCTGACCTCTTGGGCTTTCATCTCTGCATTGGCTCTGTGTTTCTTATTTAATAAGACGGTTACAACTACATGCTGCTGTTTTGGGGGTTTTGTTTTGTTTTGGTTTTTGCTGCTGCTGGTGTTTCAGACAGGATTTCTCTGTGTAGCTTTGGAGCCTGTCCTGGAACTCATTCTGTAGACCAGGCTGGCCTTGAACTCACAGAGATCCACCTGCCTCTGGCTCCCGAGTGCTGGGATTAAAGGCTTGCACCACCACCACCCAGCTAAGTGCTGCTGTTTTGACCTGGAGACAAAGTGTTATCCCATTGTTCTTTCAGCATCTAGTGACTGTGGTTACATTTCATTTGCTTACTAATTAGATTTATAAAATGCTTTGTATACCCACAAATCATTTTGCTTTATTTGACTTTGTTTTGTTTTGAGGGGGTTTCATTGTAGCCAAGGCTGGCCTGTACCTTTCTATGTGTCCCAAGATGACCTTGAATTTCTGGTCCTACTGCCTCTACCTTTCCAATTCTGAGTTCCAGGTGAGCACTACCAAGTCCTATTTATTTGGTTAAGGATTCAAATCCAGGACTTCCTACCTGCTAAGCAAGCACTCTACAGACTGAGCTGTCAATACTCCAATAGCCCATCCCATTACTAATTTTCCCAATGTAAGTCTTTTATGTTAAAGTATACAAATTATTTAGACATTGAAAGTATATAAAGTCCTAAATTGTTATTCTTATTAGAAATCTAAAGGGACTGGGGAAAGGCCATTGTAAGGATTGTGGGTTTCTTCTGAGTAGCCAGAGAGGCACAGCTGGGAAGTCTCACTTTGGTTTGGATGGGATTACTAAGGGACCTATAAACAACAGACTACTGGGGGAAACACTAGAAACTGGTTAGGGAGCTATGGTGGCAATCCAAGCTAACTGCCTTGGGTGGGAAGAGAGAGAATGGCTACAATCCATGCCTTGCTGCTGGGTTAACAAGTTCATAGAGTTCAGCCAAGACCTGATGGAATGGAGGCAGCAGCCTTGCATCTATCTGGAAAAAAGCAGTTCAAAAGAATAGCTTTGACAAAGACAATAAGGTAGGCATGAACTCATCTATTCCTTCAACCTATTCAGCTAGGACAGGATCGGGGTAAAGGGAGGGAAGGAGTGGAGGTAAAGGTACAGGGGTGGGAGTAAATTCGAAGCTGCTAGACATTGGGAGCATTAAAGAGGCAGAGAAAACAGAAGTTACTACAGTGTTAAGCATGGAGGCTAAAGAGAAGCGTGAAAGATGACTCCAAGATATCCAGTTTGAGCCGCTGGAAGTTTGGAGTTTCTGATGTCAATAGAGCCTGGAAAAACCTGGAGTGGAACCTGGTTGAGTTCTGAAGGGACTGGATACAGGAAAGGATCTGCACGCTGGAGAGCAGGCATGTCTGTGCCCTTGGAGCTCCAGCAATACAGAAGTCTTCTCCTCCAGTCAGTACTGAAAGCCTTGAGTGTGCCACAAGATCCTAGCAAATGTGGCATGGCAAAGGGGACTGGGTAGCGCCCGTGGGAGGGAACCCAGAGAGCGCCTCACTGCTCACAAGCAGCAGCTACCACTGTGAATCGAAGCCAGCAAAACACCTTCCAGATTCTCCCCAAGTGAGATGATAGAGACTGCTGTGGTCCTCGGGGTGTGATGGGAGTCCTGTTGCAATCCAAAGAGGAAGAATGTCCACCTGGGCCTCCTTGGTGCATGCCCAGCCACAATTCAATAGTAGTTGGCAGGATTGGAAAACCTGCCCGGGTCTTCAGAAAACACCCAAAGTACACCACTCTTCGCTGGGTAAGGATACCCAACCAGTTCCTTGGAGCTGTAGCATCCATGCTAAAATCGACAGTCTGAAGAAAGCCAACTGGTTTATGGGTCTGCAGCTTCCCTGTGCCTCTGTATTTATCCCCACTCCTTCCCTCTCCCTGGCACTCAGCCCTAGTTTATCCTAGCTGAACAGGTCAAAAGAATATGTGGATACATATGTCCACATCTCTGTGGAAACTCTTACGAATTGTTTCTCCAGGTAGCCATTAGGCTGCCCCCTCCCCTCCAACAGGTCTTTGCTGAACTATAACCTCATCAGTGCAGTAGCAAGGCATGTATTATAGCTATACTCTTCCCTCCTAGTACCCCACCCCAGTCCCCTGAGTTTCTCACACTGAACAAGATGCTTATATACTGTCTTTTGCTTGTAGTCTTTTCCTGTTGCTTTAGGTAAGCTTCC